AACCGCGGCCCGGCCTGGCCCAGGCAGCGGGCAGGGGTCTCGGCCTGCGGGGCGCCGGGGAGGCCTCGTCCGCGCTGCCGCCGCCGCAGCAGCCGCGCGGGGCCCAGGGACCGCGAGCGGCCGCTGCTCCCTCACCCGGATCTTGCGGCTGATCTCGGTGCCGATCTCCATGGCCGCGCAGTTGCCCGCGCCCCGCGCCCGGCTCCGCTCCCGCCGCAGGCCGCGCCGCCGCCGAGCGCCGGCCTCCCCCTGCGGCGCCCCCTGCCGGGCAGCCGCGCCGCCGCCGCGGCCCCTCTGCCGCGACCTCGCGGGGCCGTTGGGAGCCGTTAGCGGCCGTTGGGAGCCGTTAGAGGCGCGGCGGCGCTCACAAAACCCCGTTCAGGCGCCTGTTCCGCCCCGCAGGTGTACGGCTTACATCGCAGGTGCGAGGTAGCTGCCGCTTATTTGCTTGGGGGTCAGACCCTAAGGTCAGGAAATGCTTTTAGATATTTTAATTACTTTGGTACAGAATACTTCATCCTTTCCTTAGTCAAGTGTAGCATTCCAATTTTATTTATTATCGTTTTCTGCATTTCAGGGCTTTTGTAAAAGTTGCCTTCCTGCAAATAACTAGTGTATTTGAGTAACTTAAGATCAACTACCAGCTTAATACTTTTTTAAAGTACAAAACTTGATTTAAACATTTTAAATATATATAGAATTATGCAAAATATTAAAATAGTTCTTTATGTGATACTACAGCTCTCCTAGAAGGTAAAATTCCTATTGCCTTGTACTTTTGTCACCCCATGTGAGCACAATCACCCAGAAGCTCTGAAATGACTTGTTTTCTTCACAGCTGCCCGGAAAATGGTGAAGTTCCTTGTTAGGCAGAAAGAAGCTGGCGTGTGGACTGGTCTTCACCTAGGCACAAGGTATCGTTTGGAGAGGGACAAAAATACAGGGTGAATAATAATAACATGGATGAAAAGGAACCTTATTTGAATCCCACCCTTTGCGGTCTGCACCAGTGTCCTTCATACAGCAGTGCCAATTTAGTGGGGAGCAGTGTTACAGCAAGCTCAGCATACAGCTATAGAGTCTTGAATGCATACTGGCATTGGCTAAAATGTGGTGCTGTTAATAGCCCTATTAGAGCGATCTCTTTCTGTACCACAGATCCTAATATTTACCAAACCTAATACAGAAATAGCCTAGACTGCTAATTATCTGAGCTGTCTGCATGACCTTACGTAAAATGTATTGTTATTACAATGCGGCTAGCAGCAGAGTAATTAAAACATTCCATTTTAGCTTCTAAGCGACGCATTTCACTGCTAAGATTTTGAATAAGTTGTATTCTTTCATTATTGGAACAAGAAAAATAATTATTGAGGAATAAAATACAAATTACTTTTAATTAATCAACTGATAAATGGATTTACTTAAACTCATAAAAAAATTGAATTCCAAAAAAACGGGATCTTATCTGAAAGGATAAATTCTTTGTAAATAATAACTGTAGCTCACTGCTTCAAGTTGAGAACTCCCTTATGGCTAGGAAATCTGGCCATTTTTTTTTTTTCTAGGAAAATACTATAATTATCTTATTCGGTAGAATTTATTTTGGCAGTTAATAGCTCCTTATAGGTGAAAGTTAATCTTGCAAACATCTGAAAATTCAGTCTTAATAGGTACATAGTATGCTAATTTTTCTAGCACAAAAAAAAAAAAAAAGAATAGGGAGGCTTCATATACTGAGCCAGAATATGGAAGTAGTAAATAAACTGAATTTGTTGAAAGGAAGACAGCTTTCAAAATCACATACAGAATCCAGAGATATTCTGTCTTTTTATTCCACAAAAGACCATGAATTGACTATGTTGAATTGACTATGTTGCAGGGCTGGTGAGTAAATTACAGTATTTCCACACACACACTCTGGCCCCGACTTGTTCAAGCTTCTTGAGAGTAAGTCTTTCACAAGTAATTTCTGGGCTATCTAGTATTGTTTTTTTTTTTTTTTTAACACAAATGGATGAATCTTCACTAGGATGAGCAAAAGAAACAGGCATACTAGGCTTTTTTTTTTTTCTTTTTTTTTTTTTTCCCCTCAGGAGAGTGGCTGATTCTGCGTACCTTTTGAATCCTCTCCAGCGTTTTGTCTTTTTTATTAGTTGATGTAAAGACCTGATGCCTGACATAATTCCCAGAACCAGAGCAAGATGGGTATCAACCTTCACCGTGTTGACTAAAGTACTCCGCTTCATCCATGTCTCTTGACCAGCGTGGAAAGAAACCAAAACGGTTCAAGGAAAGATGATGTCAATAAGATCCAAATAGGCTAATCCTCCGCTGTGGGTAGGTACTGCTCAACCCAAAGGGCAGAAAGTCTTCCACCTGTGCAGGAGAAGGGCTGCAATACTCATCTGTAGGGCATGCATTAATCTTTACCTCCCAACAAAAGCGCAAAGAAAAGAGCATGGCAAAAGTTGCAGATGTTTCTAGCTCTGCATGTCAAGAGACTGCTGGCCAGAAGCAAACAAGAGAATCCAAAGCACAATACACAATATAGGTAACAAGGCAATAGGCATCTTATTGAGGTATCTGCATCAGAGATCACTCTGTTTTCATGGACCCCTTTTGCCTCTTTGTCCTGACTGTTTCATAGAGTTGGTAGTTGGGACAAAGCAGATAAAGGAGAGCTGATGGGGCATAATATTAGTCAGAAAGGGAAAACTGAAGAAAAGCAGCAAGTTAGGATACAAACTGGGGTTATCAAAAGCAGCAGTAATAAAATGAATTTCAGGAAGTGGTTTTTTGAACTCAAAAGGAGAAAACTGTAGGTTTTAGAGAAGCATATTGGTCTACCTCTTTGTACTGAGCTGATGCATTTTCCTTAATGAAAGAGAGGGATAACAATAGAAAATTAGAGAACTCTAATAAATGCAACTTCCAGGCAGGGAACTGGGCAGGAAATGGGTGTGATCAAGGCTGAGGATGGGAAATATAACAGATGAGAGAGCTGAGGCCTTGTTTTTCAGTATGAATTGTTTAGCAATAAGAGGAGTTTCCTCTGTTGCCTTTACCTAAAAGGAGGAAATCTTTATGACTTGGAACCATCGAGTATTTTATTGGTCAGTATTCTGAGGACAATAACCATATTTCTGGCCTGTAGGCAATACCACAAGAAAAGGCGATCAGTTTAGCTCAGTTAAAAGTCAGTTTATTTGACTCAATGTAAAATTTCCTTGATTTAGTTATTTTCTTGGCGTATGGATTGCTCATCAAAAGTGTAACTATGGCAAGAAAAATGGGAAAAGCTTTTCTAAGTGAAGTAATTCAAAATTCTTCAGTGCAGATATTCCCTACATATTTCAGCTGAGAGTAGTGTCCTCCTGAGTCACTTGCTGTTTGCATAGTCAATCTGCAAGTTAGACCTGCTCAGACAGTAGCATGTGCAGTCTGTGTGTTTAATATCACCAAGACACTTTCTAAGTTTTACAGGTGTGAATCAGCATTCACACATTCACTTGAGCATTTTTTCCTCATTCTTGACCCAGTTCAAGTTTGTATATACATCTGCCTGGCCCGTGTAATGTGAAAAACCATTACATTTCAAATAGCATGCAACAATGATGATTTTTTTTGTTTGTGCCTCAATATATGTGGGACTGGGATGTGGCCTTTGTATGATCTTTGCATTGAAGTTTTATTTAATTATATGCACATAGTACTTGATAAGACAGTTCTTATTAATAATGTAATTGCTATGAAGCCTTTGGCAATTTTACATGTTTATGAGTGAGGGCTGAAAGATTAGTCTTCAGTCAGCATTTTATTGCAGTGTATGTTACTAACAGATGAAACTGTGTGAGGACTTTTGTTTTTGGCTGTAGACAAAACGTATGTGCAGAGAGCATTTAGCCCGGCACACACTGCTTAAACCTTGAAAATATTTCCAAGACACACGAAAACAAGACCAACAGATTTTTTTGTTAAAGAGACTTGCTTGAATTGGAAAGGCTTAAAATAAATGATCATATGATTAAAAAAAGCAAGGATTGCCTGCTATTTGTTGTAGCCCCTATTTCTGGCCCGCCCCTGCAGCCAGGGGAGCAGCTGTTCATTGCTGACATTCTCGCTGCCAGGCATTCCAGCTCCCTGAGGTCATGGGCTACAAGCATACGGGCCTTCGCTTTAATTCTTTCAGCGTATCCTTCCGCATGGATAGCGCGAGGGGAACGCCTCCAGGAACAGAAATTAAATGCACACACACAGAGCCACGCAGCGACGTGCGGTTTGAAAATATTCCAGAGAAGGTATTTTGCTCTCATGCAGCGCAGCCTTGCATGAGACGGGCTGCCTCAGGAGCTGCCTGCCGCAGGTTTCTTTCGCTGTAGTGTTTTCTTCCACCCCCAGCTCCTCGCCGAGTGGAATGATATCCAGAGCAAGTTTTTTGAGACAGGAAGTGAGGAATGTTTTCATTATGAGTGATCTGAGAGGAAGGTGGGTTAGCCGAGATAGCAGCTGCTTGGTGCAAGAGGAGCACAATAAGTCAGTTTGCGAGGAATACAGATGAGATGGCTCCAGGAGAACAACTCGCGACGTGCTGTGGGGGGTTCTCAGCTACATGTATGTGAAAGGAGACTTGGAGCCTTTGGATCGCTGCAAAAGGTAATGAGAAAACAGCAAGCATCGCGTTAGGAAAAATAACTAGTGGGTGATCTTCTCTGATGTGTACTTTAAGGTTGAAGCGTTTCAAGCATGTGTTGTTTGAAAGGTAAAGGCTGTAGATCTGTTTGCATCTTTGTTTTTAGGCATAGGGGAGGTTCAGTACATGCACTTGGTGCTCTCTTTTAGTCCAAGAGTCAAGTCAAATATTAACTGGTAAAACAAGAGGAGGGTGGGGTGTTCTCATTTTGGGGCTTTTCAAATCTCTCTGAAAAAAATATGCATTTTAAGTGTTTGAAATAATAGAGACTCTATTGCACTTTCCTGTGTTACAATTTATTTTGCAGGATATCATTCAGCCAATGGCATTTAAAATCTTTGTAGAGTAAAATACTAATTATTGAGAGGAAAGTGGGAGGTAGAGGTAAAGAGGGAAGGTGTCACGGTCTCAGTAATTGTTAGTCACAGCCACGTTGCAGAACTTCTAACATAACATTTTTAAATGTGCATGTTTACGTTGAAATATAAATGTACAAAGTTTGACCGCTTTGTATTGAAGCACACATTTTTAGCTGTTGGATGAAAATCCCAGGCTGGCTAAATAAGGCTTGTTGTTGTAGAGTCGGTCAATATGTAACTCCTGGCAGTTCCGTATGGTTCCCTTTTGCTGAAGTAGCTTCACAGCCTTTTAGATGTATAAACATTTAAAATAATGCACAAGCCAAACACAAAAGCAGCTCTCACTGCAGAATGACAGCAGCTGAATAAAAGCAGCACTGCACAATTTGTAAGAATTATGCAGCGCTAGCTATAAAAGTCTCTGAATGATACCTGTTACTCTCCAAACTTTGGTCCACAATAATAATGAAAATTAATTCATACATGTACTGAGTTAAAACAAAATTTTCTGGAACAATCAGCAGAGCAAAATATGCAAGCAGGAGAACCTAACCTTTAAAAACTGTGATTTAAATTTCCTTCCTATGTCTTCCTCTGTGCCTGTATGCATGGAGAAGCTGGGAAGGTTTGAAATTGCCAAATGTCAATGTTAGATTGCCTGTAAATTTCACCTGGCCGGTCAGCTACCATTAGTGAATTTTTTCCATGCTTTTTGAATATTTTTCCAAGAGTCCCATGGGGACCTGAGAATGTGAAAGTTGTGCCATGTTGAATATTCTACATAAAGAGATTGAAAGCAGCACTGTGCTTCCGTCTGCAGTTTTCAATTTGTTTTCTCTCATAACGGTAGCAACAAAAGAAAAAAAAAAAGTACAGTTGTGCACAGAACGTGTTGGAAAACAGGCCTGGGGAAGTGAGCTAAGGTCAGTCAGCCAAAAGTTTCCCTGCCAGGAATAAACCCAGTGCGAGATTCTGCTGGGAGTGGGCAGGAAACTGGCTGTGGAGCATTCCCTGCATGCTGCTCTTTGGGGTAGGATTTGGAGGCTCAGTGTGCAAAGTAATAAAAAGGGAGACCTTGCATATCCCTCATTTTTTTTTTTTTCAGGGAAAACTGTTGCTATCAATTGTTTTTTATTCTGCAGCTGCACTCAGAGAAAATCTCAGTGTTCAGATGGAGTGGTTTTATTTCCTTCCTGATTTGAACAGTAGCGATTAATCAATAAGATAATAAGATTAGGGATGCAGTCTGCTGGGCGACGGGGAAAGCGAGATAGCAGAAGGGCAGAACTGCTTCCAGATTATGGGAAGCATGGACATGAAATGTGCTTATGGCTGCACTTTGAACAGGTTTGTGAAGATGTCCTGGAGGAGAAAAGACACTTGGCCTCCTCTTCCTCCCAGTTAGGCCTTAAGCCTCTTTGTGCTTCTCTCTATTCCTTGCCATTATGCTTAAAAGAAAGCCCCATGGAGCCAAGCAGGAAAAATTCAGTCTCAAGGGTTTCCTTGTTTTGATGATACTACTTTATAGATATGTGTACAAGTAGTATAGGACTTTTTTTATGTATCTGATTAAGAGACTGGAAAGAATACTAGTCCCTCTGGTTTTCCTCCCTCCTCCACAGATAAAAGAATATATGAATGCCCTTCCTATCTGGAAGACTCTTCAGAAATCCATTTATTCTTTTTAAAAACAGACTTCTTATGCATACCAGCATTAGAAAAATAAAATAAAAGAGAAAATAAAAATGAGGGTTTGGCGGGGCAGTGGTGCCACCGCTAGAGGTGCTGAGGCAGCACGAGGGCTTCAATCGGGAACGGAGCTGGGAGGGAGTCGCACACGGGCCCCTGTCCCTTGTGCCCTCATTTGGTCTGGCAGCCGAAATTCAACAAGAGGCAGAACAGGGCTTTCCTAAAACCAGGGAGGGAACGGCAAGAAAAGCCTGGGAAGGTGGGGAAAGAAAGGCTACAATCTGTGTGTCAGGGAGCTGCTAGGAAAGGAGAGGTGAAGGTGTTTGTAGAAGGTGAGGAGTGTGTAGCTATCCTTGGAATAAACCCGATTTTCAGGGAAAAGTTAGGAAAAGAAAGCTTTGGTCATCAGGTTGATGGGGAAGGCAATATTGTACAAAAGGTTGTATAGCTGCTTAGCATAGGGAGTGAACTAGCTGCAATTCATGAAAAATTAAAGATTTTAATTGACTGGTAGGAAACAGTTAAAATGCATCTCTTCTTGCTCGTGACCCTCTCTCTCTCTCTCTTTTTTTTTTTTTTTTTTTTTTTTTTTTTTTTTTTTTTTTTTTTGCCTTTAATCTTCTGTAAGGCTTGAGCCTGTATTTAATCCAACATATAGTAGCTGAGAATGCATGCTGCGCTGGAAAAAAATGCTGGGTTCCTAGTTTTGCTCTTAGATGAAATAGTTTTGCTCACAAATGCATGGGGTTTCTACAGGTCTTTCATTTAAATAATGATTCAATTTAGAAATACTTCTTATTTTTAAAGCACTTCAGTTGCATTTGATTAAGGTCTCTTCACTTACTGAAGAATAAAATTAACCTGCCAAAGCCTGGTGGTGTCTGTGGAAAAACCAGAAACTCTGGTGCATATTTTACTATCTGAATGCATAAGAGCTCAGTGTTTTGGAGAAGCCGACTATTTAGATTTAGAAAAAATATACCTGTTTATATGCAGTTTCCCCATGCTTCCACTACGCCTTCACTCAGATTGTTTCTGATTCTTGCATGTTCTCTTTCGCCTCGTCCTAGAATTGCAGTGGATGCCCCTTCTACTTCTCTCCTGGTGGGAAACTTGCTTGTCTTTAATGGATACTGCTGGTGCTGGTTGATCTTTGGAGACTCCGCAGCTCCGTGTTTTTGAGAGGAGGCAGCTGCTTGCCCCTCCTCATCCTGCCACTGGTGGTACCTTTTTATTGCTAACCATCCCTGTGGGAAAAGAAGATGCCTCTGCCTTTTGGGTTAAAGTTGAAACGAACTCGACGTTACACAGTATCCAGCAAGAGCTGCTTGGTGGCTCGTATCCAGCTGCTCAACAATGAATTCGTGGAGTTCACACTGTCGGTGGAAAGCACAGGCCAGGAAAGTCTGGAAGCTGTGGCTCAAAGGCTGGAATTGCGGGAGGTAAGTGAGCGGTCGGAGACAGCGCGGCTTCGTCTCTGCTATGAGGTTACACATCTGGTGTGAACCTTACCACTTGGGGCAATATTTGCTGTAGCAGCTCCTCAGCGTTTCACTTGGGTCTTTATGTTCTCATTGGAGAGGCACTTGGATTCCAAAACAGTCACAAAACTTACGTCGCAGAGTTAGCGAATACCAGATGGAATGACATGTGAGAAGTGGCAGTGAAAAGAAGCCTAGTATGACAACCAAAGCAACATGTGTGGTCATTTTGAGTCCTGACAATGCTGGAAGTGCTTTAATGTTGAAAAGAAAAGGCTGTTTTCTGACCCAGATTAAGAGTTGCTTGGAGATTTGATGTTACTTTTAACTTATATGTTCATTTTTCCTTCAGCAAGCTATTTTGAATAAAGAAAGGGTTATTTGTGTGTATGTATTTTGGAAGGATTAATGCTGAGAAAAGAATCTAAAGCATGAAGTGAGACACATGTACCATTTACCAACTATTTGCTTTGCGTGTTCAGATACCCCAAATCTGCAGAGTATCTCTGAGCAAGCACTTAGTCATGGCTGGCCTCTTGGAGATGCATAGTCTGTACTAGCTGCATCTCTATAACTTTTTTTTTTTTTTTCCCTCCTCCTAGATGGTTTTTCTTTCCTCCCCCGAAGATATTTTGCAGGATTGCTTTGCATTTCTTCTGAATTCCTTAAAATTTTTCTCTTCTTCCACATATTTGTCACTTACTCACTCTCCTCTCTTGGATGAATTAGTTCTGAAAGGTTGAACTCTGAAATGTTAATTATAGAGTTCTATATAGATTACCACAATATGAGCAAACATTGCTTTTTTGAAATTTTGTTGACTACAGAGGTGGATTTGGTTACAGTGGCTGAATTCTCTTTATCCTGTGCAAACTGTCCTTTCCTACTAGAGTTTCTAACACTTCAGCTCACTGTCTAGTCATTCAGCTGTTTGGGACAACAGTTACAGATTTTGGGACAGAGTTGAGAGTGGAAACTGGTAATAAAAGAACAGGTTGGCTAAAGTTGTATGTATGAGAAAGATACTTTTGCTCTATTATGTGGTGTACCACACAATGGTGTTTTGAATACAAGATTGAAATACAGCTTGAAAACCCAATATTAGATGACCAAACCAGAAGAGAGGTCATAGAAAAATAATCTTTAGTTAATAACTTTGATTTTTGGAACTGTTATATCTTCGTTGTCAACTGCTTACGGCCTTGTTTAAATTTGAGCAAACAAATTGATGTTCCCAGTCCTGCAACCATTTTGGAAGAATGTAATTTTGGAGAGCCACTATGACTTCATCCTTTTTTGTTCTTTCTAGCAAAGCAAGTCTAATTATTCTCGTGGCCTTAACATACCCTTTATATCAACACACATCTGATATCATATATTTATATTTCAGCTGTTGCGTTCAAATGGAGTTTGTCAATTTAATCTACCCACTTTCAAACACCAGTGATAAGTCAACCGTAGGTGGAGAACTTAAATTTATTTGATCTGCAAAAGTCAAAGGCTCTGTCTTCTGGAGTGCTGACCTGTAACTCTTCATCATCTCTTTCTTTGGAGCTGTGCTCCTAAAATCCCCTTTTTTTTAATAAATAAATAAATAAATACCCTCAATTAGGAGTCATATATCAGAGTGAGGGAGTTGACAGTATACTATTGAACTTTGAGCAGATTCCTTCAGTCATGCATTCTTGTGTGGATTATTTTGGCAGGCAAAAGTGTTGCAATAAAAGGGAATGGAAAGTAGGGATATAAATCACTTTCCAGAGCTTGCCTTCAGAAAATGTTGTTTTGCCTTTAAATAGTCATTTTTTGCCAAGCAGATACTGGATCATTCCTGACTGCTTGCTGAGCACAAAGTTTTCAGGGAGAAAAATGTGCTCAGTATGTTGCTTAAATCTGCCAACAGCAACATTAGGCCTTGATACTGTGAAAAGCTGAATACTTTCTGCAGATGCTGCACTAAGCACCCTGAAACCACATGCGTTTGGACTGAAAGCGTTAAACACTGAGATTTAGCTCCCTTATGAAAACTGAAACATCCATTTTGAATATGAGTATACAGGATATGTAGTTATGATATTTGAGTCCCATGCAACTTCAGGAAAGTTTATTGCAGAAAGTATAAGCTGGAACTCTACCTTTGCAGGGTGTTTAAACATGGGATGTAACATTTATAAATGTTTGTTTCTGTGTTGGAGGGTATAATTTCTGAATTTGGCTAGTGACGCAATGGCTTATTTTTAATGTTGTGACATCTTTTGAGATAATTGTTTTAACAAATTTTACTTTGTTTAAAAGAATAGTCTTTGAATTATGACCAGAAAGTAATTTTTATTTTGTTTTTCCACATTTCCAAGTTGTATATGAGTTGGGATTAATAGTTAGGGTTCAGGAAGACTAAGTGTGTTGGCAATTTAATTTTGTTTTGTTAGTGCCATTACTAAATGGTAAGCTTACCCCCAAAAAAAGAAATTAAAATGAATACATTTAAACAAGAATATGTTCTGGTATTCCCAGAATGTGACTCATCAGCAATGGGAATGTGATCCAGCTCTCTTAAAATGAGAAACTGGGGAAAGAAGCCAAGGGAGGGAGAGAACATAAGTTATTTACCCTTTGTAGAACAGCCTGTCTTTTACCCTGTGAGATATATAACCAGACTTGATTTATGGGAAGAGCTATCTTTATTGCCAAGGTAGTATGTTCTAGTACTGCAAGTTTGGAAAAAATGCTGGGAGCTGGGGTTGTTAACCAGCTTGGAGAAAGGGTGTGATACTCTGCCCATCTTGCATCTAGGGTATGAGGATACAAATCAGATGTTTGAAAATACAAAAGTGTTCTACATGTTACCACTGCTGGGTGTATGTGGGATGTCTGGCAGAAGATGTTAAGACTGACGTGCCTCTCTTCTTGCGTCGTCTTTTATTTCTCTTTTCTTACGTTGCAGCTTTACCAGAGTGAAGGTGCAAATTTTGCTACTGTTTTGTACAAGCAGAGTCTGACTTCAGATGTGTGGTAGAGAGTTGGCCTCAACTGCAACAGTTGATGGTATCCAAAGAGTGGGAAGTTCTGTGAAGAGGATCAATGTGGTGCATATGGGGATTCATGTGTTTATTTTGGATGTGAACACAAAAGGAAGGATCAAGGTTATCCAGGAGCTGTGTATTAGAAATGCTTCTGTTCTGTAAACTGTTCTGTAAAGCTTTCCCCTAAAATCTAAAGAGCTCTTCCTTGGAGGAAAAGCAGTAAAATTCAGTGTGGTAGGTTGGTAAATGTGTGTTTACATGGGTAAAAAATGTTTTAAAGCAAGGAAAAAAAAATCTCTATTGGCAAACATATTGACTGACAAATAAAAGTTGGGTCAAGTAATGTCAGAGGAGTAGCTTACATATTATGTTTATGCTTTCTATCAGCTTGATAAAGGCTTGGGTAATGCTTAGAGAAATATCAGAGGAAGTAGAGCTGATCGTAGAACGGTTATGGCTGCCTCTCTAAACCTAATTTTGCTTAAAATTAGAGAGGAAAAGTTTATAAAGTTTATCAGGAGGTATATAAAAATGCAAATCTGTATTTAATCTTATTCATTTAAAGCTACTGCTTTTCCAGAAAAAAGTACCATCTAAAACATATGTTAATTTCAAGTGTTTGGTTATAGTAATTTAGGAGCCAGAATTTTAGAGAGCTGAAAATTAGTAGCTGTCTTAAATACAGTTACTGGGGTTTTTTCTCTTTTGAAGAGGGGAAAAAAAAGCTGGGTACAAGACTTATGCTCATTGTGCTTGTTTATTACACCAAGCAGCACAAAATGGATTAAGATTTTTCTGTGAAAGCATTAGTGGTAATTAGGAAGCTTTGACCTCAAGTTCTTTAATTTTTTTTTTAAGTTAGGCCAGATTCTGAAAATAACATTTAGATATTTTTCTAATGTCAGAATGTGTACATATTGCTGTGTAGTTTCATACTGATTTTAATATTAATATAAAAAAGGGTTTCTTTATTTTTGAAGCAAATACATTAGTTTATTGCTAAGTATTTTTAGTCTACTTTGAATGATTCTGCTTTTTGCAGTTGCAAAGCAGTCAGAGAATTTCAGAATCTGGGGAATGGGAATGTGGCACTTCCTTCAATGTCATTTCTGTGTAAGATGAGAGTCAAAGGGAGATCTGTGAGGCCATCCTTCTTGCAGCTTTGGGCAGTGGTGGAAAAGAGTAACCCAGCTTAGAGAAAAAGCAATCCACTTTTTGGACATTCTGAATGAAAACTGAGATGTTTTTGCACGATGTCAAGAAGTGAGATATAATGTTTTGATGAGTTATGTGCAGTGTATGCACTATGAGGAGTAGCTCCAAATCCACCTTGCTTGGGAGAATACAAAAGTTTAGCCAAGTCATTTGAAAGTCTTATGGCTTGGTTTGTTTCTAAGTACTTGTAAAAAAAGAAGAAAAAAAAAATGGAAAAAAATAGTCTGAGTGCATTCCTGTGTGAGGTGGTTATTTTAACTTACGGCTGTTAATTCCTCATCTTACCGCCTTGAATCATGATTGTTCAGGTCACTGTATCCTTGAGGCAAATAGCAGATTGCATTATTCAGAAGGCACCAAATTACAAATTAACATTTGGAAAACAATATTCTTTTCCAGACTATTCGTAACCTACTAGGCATTCTGTATGATTTGTAATTTGGGATATGGAGATTAGCTGGGAAATAGATAAGTATGTT